TTTTGGTGAATATGTTTGTTTTTTTTGGTAAGAAGTGATATTTTCGACTTCCCTTGCAGAGTCTTTGAGCTTATGACCTGGCCTAAGGAGCCACAGAGAGCCACAACCTTAGGTTTATGGTATATATTAAATTAGCCTGTGACAGAGACTAGTGGGAAGTTCCCTGGCGACTATCTAGCTTAGTGATAAAAGATCCAAAGTCTCTGCAAAGGAAAATGCTGTTTTTGTAGCCATATTGGAGGAGCTGTTTTTCAGTGGACCATGGTATCGGTGTGTGTATTTTACCTCATCGTAAATCGCCTGTAATGCTTCACTCTTTGTCTCGTGGTGTAATTTCAGATCACCATACCCATATATAGCAAGACATCCTCCAGGTTTCAGCACTCTCTCAACTTCTTTGTAGAAAATATCGATATTCTCGAACCAATGAGCACAGTTTGCCACACTCACTAGATCAACCGTCTGGCTTTCAATCGGAATGTTTTCCGCTCTTCCAAATCTGTGTGAAACGAAACAAATATATGCATACACATGCATTAAAGGGCGGTAGTCGTCGTGCCGCGTCCTGTTCGATATGGGACTCATAGCGACGTATACAACGCATGTAAAATACATTGTTTATTTACATGATATCCGAACACGCGCTGCGTGACGACCACCGCCCTTTAATTACAAATAACATATGTCAGTCTTGTTCTGTTCCACCTTACAAATTTCAGGTACGTACTTATACTGAATATTTGAAAACTCATTGCTGTCATTGGCTGCTTTAACTTGTTCTTGACTCGCGTCAAAACCAATTATTTGTTCAAAGTGTTGAGCAAAGTGGGTGGTGCTATGTCCATTTCCGCACCCAATGTCCACAGCTAGTGTGTATGGTCCAGTTTTCTGTAAATTATAACATTTAAATTACAGCAGAGTGAAGATTCTTCATGTGTTTTTAATACGATTAATTATGGCGGTTGGATAATTTTAACCAACAAAATGATTCCAATGCCATTTTACTTTGAATTAAAGGATTCTCATTAGTACTCCGAGAACATGCGCACATTAATTATTCTATATTCTAGCGAATTATGTTCTTTTTACCCTGGGTAATGTTATG